GAGGGTCCTTCTCTTACCTGAGGTCCCGGTGAGTTAATGCCACAATGACAGCCCACAAGTCTCTCTACTCCCGTATGATGCCATGCTGGGATCATTCCGGAACCAGTCGCTGGTCTGCTTTTCCCGTTGCCTGCCACTGTCTTGTGGGAAGACCTTACCTGCAGGATCCAGAGGACCAGCAAGCCCCCAGAAAGGCCATATCACACGATGTTTCTACTCAGGGCCTCCTCAGTTGCAGAAGTCCATGACACCCCCCTAGAGTTGTGCAGTGCACAACTTAAGACACTGTGTGGAGCAGATGTGTGTTTACATGTGTGAGAGCCCAAACTGACATTGGTCTAAGAGGTTTTAGTGAGCACCGGGCAAGGGAAGAAAACAGGCTTTGCAGCCAGCAGATCTGGGTTCAAACCTTGACTGTCCTACTTACTGGCCCTGGGAACATGGTAAAGCTACTTGATATCACCGATTTTAAGGTTTTCATCTAAAAATAGAGCAGATCATATTTAGCTTAAACATTGCTGTGAAAAAATTTAAATTCAGTAATTTATGTAAAAGCTCTTTGTAAGTCGTATCAGGGACCCGACAAGTGTTCCTTTTTCTGTAACGTAACCACTCCCTCTCTCATATACATACAGGTGTGAGTCGAAATAAATGCCAGGCGTCTTTAAACTTTGCCGGTAACTTGGAATCTTCTGAATTTTGTCACAGGCTTACCAGGAACCAAATGAAATTTGGGGTATCTCTAGGCCATGGGTGTGTCTTCTTTTTTTTCACAGAGCGCTTATAAAACTTCGCGTTTCCCGGAGGAATATGGCTGTGGGATTCCAAGAAAAAATCCTGTGAGGAAACATAAGGAAAGACTAAAAAAAAGTAGTGCTGTTTTCTTACTCTGTAAGCCCCTGGCTGTCCTGGGAGTTCAGGGGCTGAGTGTCCTCCAAAAGACTCTGACAGCGAAATCAGAACCCTTTGTTGCACCAACAATTAAATTCCTGGCTGTGCTTGGGATCCGTTCAGACCCTTCTTTAACGGCCGTCCAGATGAGAATTCGAGGCCCAGAAGCTGGTTTTCAAAATCTAGCAAAATAAATGCTTCGGCTTATCATTCTCTCCGTCTTTCTTCCACCGAGATGCTCACTGAGTTTTCACCGGGTTTTGCGGTTGCCTTTTTGTTTTGTTTTCACTTGTAAGATAGATCTTGAGAGAAAGTCATTGTGGAATGGAGGGGAGGGGGCACATCCCAAAAGCTCTATTTTAGACTCTGATGAAAATGTGTAAGAGCCTGAAGGCAGGGAGTCTTAGAGACAAGAGACTGACGGACTCACTGAACCCTAGAAGGCTCTGCCTGGTGCCTCCCCAGCAGACCGGGTGGGAAGCAAGTGCTGCCTTGTCCTTGGAGCTTCCTGCAGCTGAGCCAGGCAGTGTGGCTGGGGGGACCAGTGACTGGGCATGAGCCGTCCACCCATCGAGGCCCGCGCTGCTCACGGCTCAGATATTGTTCTGCTGTGACAAGTCCCCACAAAGTGAGTGGCTTCAAACAGCGCATATTTATCTTGCACATAGATATGTTGGCCAGATATCTGACATGAGTCTCCCTGGACTGAAATTCGAATGTCAGCAGGGTTGCATTCCTTTCTGGAGGCTCTGAGGGAGGGTCTGTTTTCTTGCCTTACCTTTCCCAGTTTCTCAAGGCTTCCCACATCCCTTGGCTGCTGGTCCTCTTCTTCCATCCTTTTATTGTTTTTAGTCTGAGTCAAGGTCTCACTCTTTCATTGAGGCTGGAGTGAAGTGGCATGATCATGAGTCACTAGCCTCAACCTCCTGGGTTCAGGTAGTCCTTCCATCTCAGCCTCCCAAGTAACTGGGATTACTGGCTCATGCCACCACGCATGGCTAATTTTTCTGTAGAGACGAGGTCGCGCTGTGTTGCCCAGGCTGGTCTCAAACGCCTGGTCTTAAGCAATCCTCCCACCTCAGCCTCCCAAAGTGCCGGCATTGCAGGTATGAGCCACCGAGCCTAGCCTACCTTTTCTTCCATTTTCCACACCTGAATCCGCTTCTCATCACTCTCCATCATAAGACTCTCATCATCCCTTCCACCTCCCTCTTTCCCTGTCAGGGACCCTTGTGGTTCCATTGGGCCCATCTGGGTGATCCAGGCTCATTGCCCTGTTTTGAGGTCCGCTGAATTTCATCAGTGACCTTAATTCCTCTTTACCATGTAAGGTAACATATTCATGGGTTCCAGGGATTAGGACCTGGGTGGATCTTGGTGGGGAAGGGAGGTAGCATTATTGCCTGCCACGGGTCATAGGTCATTTTTACACTACATGCAATCATTGCATCTGTTAGGACTCTTTCTGTACAAGAAACAAGACCTCACGTTAATAAAAAGAAAGAGAGACTATTGGGCCTTCTCCTTGGAGGGGAAAGTTTAATCCGTTTCAGGCACAGCTTGATCCACATGTCCAACAATATCACCAGAGCTGGCTTTTCCATGTCTTGGGTTTCTCTGTGGTGGTTGGGTTCTCAAGGAGGGCTAGCCCCGCCATGGCTAAGAGCACTCCCAGGCAACTCCAAGCTTACGTGGGTCTTAAGACTCAGGATCCAAGGGAGGAAGCCTCGGCCTCTTTCTAGGTAACACCAGCAAAATCCCAGCAATTCCCTCACCGACTCAACATGGGGCGTAGGTACACCTCTAAGCCGATCACTGTTCAGTAAGATGCAAGATTATCTTATCACAGGGCAGGGATGGTGTCAGCCTTACCAGAAGCAAGTATACTGTGCAGGTGAGGGAGAGGTTCTCCAGAAGAAATTCAAATGTCATTGCCAGATGGAGGGGGAAGGATCTGCACAGGCAGAAGCAACCGGAGTCTACTTCAGCATGTCACAACTGGGTTTCAGAAGCGTGAAATAGATAGATGATTCCGGTTTAGAGCTCCTGTGGCTTCAAGCAATGGGATACTCAAACTTGAAAGCGTATAGAAGAGGCTTGCCCAGGGCAAGTAGTGAGCTCGTTCCAGCAGTGTTTAAAAAGAGGAATCACATACTGGTTAAAGACGGGTTTGTCATCAGGCTGCCTGGGTTTTTATCTGAGTTATTTGTGGGTTTTTTTTTTTTTTTTTTTGAGTTGGGAGTCTCACTTTGTGACCTAGGCTGGAGTGCAGTGGCACGATCCCGGCCACCGCAGCCTCAACCTACTGGGCTCAGGCAATCCTCCCACCTCAGCCTTCCAAGTAGCCGGAACTACAGTTGCATGCTATCACACCCAACTCATTTTCTGATTGATTGTAGAGACAAGGTCACACCATGTTGCCCAGGCTGGTCTTGAACCCGCGGGCTCAGGCAATCCTCTCTCCTCGGCCTCCCAAAGGCTTGGGGTTATAGGTTTGAGCCACCGCGCCCGGCCTGAGTTATTTGTTATGTCTACCTGACTGCCCTGTGCCTTGGTTTCCGCATAGTAAAGTGAGGATGGCAGTAGCACCCACCTCACGAGTTTGTTGTAAGTTTCAAATGTGTTGATGCAAATAAAGTGCTTAGACTCGTACCTTGACATAGAGTAGGCACTAAATAAATACAAGCTATGATAATAATGATTATTCTCATGAGAGTACTACTGTTCTTTCAAGTAAGTGTCCTGAGCATGGCTTAGGGTCTTAGAAAGTGGCCAGGTAGTAAGTTAGATATTTTCTTGGTGCCTCTGTTTCTAATGGGGACCTCACAGTTCTTTTCTGTGGAACTTTCCTCTCTCGACCACCTCAGTGGAAGCTGAGGCTTGTCACCTGTAGTGTGGATTTTCACATGGCCTTGACAGTACGTGTCTACCACTGAATGAATACTGGGTCAGTGTTTCTGGGTTCAGATTCTTGAGAGAATCTCATTGGCCAGGGCTGCGATGGGCTTTAAGTAAGAGTGCACTGGGTTTGATTAGCTGTGACAAGGTTGAGGTGGCCTTGTACACAGGGTCATTGCTTTCATTTGGCATGTAAGGGTTGGGTTAAGCTGAAAGGAAAAGTTGGACTTAGCTGGAAAACCAACCAACCTGTCTTTTACACGCGTGCTCTAGCAAACTGGAATTTTCCTACAGAACAAAAAAGAATCGGTTTCAAAGAATACTGGTTATATCTTGATGTCTGGGAACAGGACAACCCTGGGAAACGCTTAGTTCTCATGTGATTTAGCCTGTAGTTTTGCAAAGAAAAATGACCTGTATCATAAATGGTAGTGACGTTTTCAGCTCCAATTAGAAATGTTTCTTGGATGGGCAGGGACCCCGTTCGCTTCTACCTAGGGCATCAATCTCAGAAACCCACGCTTGGAGCAGAAGCCCCGCTGATGGTGAAATGCTCACGTTCATTGTCCGGGAGGTGGCTTCCAGAGTGACTGGGGATGCCCCCTCCATCTTCTCTCTGGTGGCAGGAGACAAAGTCTACACCTGCTCTTTGTTCATGGTGTGCCTCCTCACTTTCCAGAGCTCCCATATTTTTTCAGAAATCTCAGTCCGAGGTCTCTAGGACCTCTCCACGGACAGGGGTTTCTGCCTGGGAGCCCGTGTCCTTTGCTCCAAGGCTTCTAGGAAGGATCTTTCTGGTGAAGTCGTTCCACAGCGACAGGGAGGGAGAAGGAGGGGCGCAGGACGTCTTAGCTCTGAGGCACGGCAGGAAAGGTGGAGATGCTTTCGATCGGGGCTGGGTACCTTAGGAAGCGCTGAGATTTGGGGGAAGACAAAGCCTTGTCAAGATTTCGACAGAGGCCTGCTGGGAATGTCTCCCCCGCAGAGGCTCCTGTGCCCTCTTGCTCACAGAACAATCCGTAGGCTCCGCGCTGGCTTTCAGATGGACTGGTTTTGAAGCAGTCAACAGAAAAGTGTCCTGCTGCCAGGGCCAACCATCAAAAAGCGAGAAGCGAGAGAGGCAGCTGTGGGGACATGTGCGAGAGAGAAATATCGCCGTGTGGAGCAGGGGCTCTGCTGGCCTGATACCGTGTGCTTTGTTTCCCCCCAAGGACCCCGTGGTTTAATGGATGGGGCTTTAACCTACCCAGAGGTCAGTCTCTGCTGGACAAGTGGAACCTCATCCCCGAGGGCATTGACATACTCATGACTCATGGACCTCCTCTAGGTAAGTGAAGCCAAGGTTGTCCTTTGTCATCCAATTCTTCTTCTTTCTTTTTTTTTTTTTTTCCAAGTGTAATGAATAATGCTTCAGGGACATCATCATTTTCCTCCAAAAAAAAAAAAAAAGTGAATACAAAAAGAAAAGTCAATGTCTTTAAAGAAACCCAGTATGATAATTAAACTCAGCAGTTCTGCTGGGCTTACAGGTGTTCTTGAAATTAAATTTTTTGATTTAGTCGAGTCAGGGAAAAATCAAATGAGTGTGGTGCACCACAGTCTTTTGAGCTGGATAATTTATTTTAAGAACTGTGTTCACTCTCGAGTAAGGGGCGCGGGGAGGGGACAGGAAGGAAGACACCGACCTCCCAATCACGGGGCTTTTGAATGGCAGTGAAATGATGGAAATTTGTGTTCAAAGGAGCTCATTTTCCCTTTCCATATAATGCCGGGACCTGGGAGATCTTTAAAGTTTAACGTTTGAGCTGATAATTTGAGAAAAGAATCTTTTTCTTCTTTTTTTAAGCCAAGGTATTTCAGTAAGGACTTAGGCTGAAAGTTGCTTAAGGATTTTTACCCTACTGGCATATTGAGTCTGCAACTGGGTTTGTGTTGTCTGTGTGCTTCAAAGCCACTCACCAGTGACCCAGATGATGGTCAGAAGATGATGATTTGACTGATTATATTGTAATTATTCATGAGCTTGTTCTTTTTTTTTTTTTTTTGAGCTGGAGTCTGCCTCCTCTGTCAGGCTGGAATGCAGTGGCACGCTCACAGCCATCACAGCCTCGACACCAGCTGGGCTCCGGCGATCCTTCCGCCTCAGTCTTTCAAGTAGCTGGAACCACAGGCACATGCCACCATGCCTGGCTAATTTTTGATTTATTGTGGAGACAAGGTCTTACCAAGTTGTCCAGGCTGGTCTTGAATCCTTGGCCTCAGACAATTCTCTCGCCTCTGTCTCCCAAAGTGCTGGGATGACAGGCATGAACCACCACCGTGCCCAGCCTTGAGCTTGTTCTCAGTTTGACTTAGTAATGAATGTTTTTCAGCCAGGACCACCACCCCGCCCCCATGCCAGGATCCTTCCTAGCCAACTACAGTGTGCTGAGGAAATTCATATGGTCCGCTTTTAATAGAAGAGTGTTCTCTTATGTCTTTCTTTTTTTAATTGTATAAACACAGAGACACACACATACACGTAACATGAAATCTGCCCTCTTAACAGATTTTTGAATGTACAGTACTGAGTCTTCCTAATCATCTTGATTTGGAGAGAGGTGGAAATCAACATAAATATAAATGGTATTCACATTTTTTCCTGTGGCTTGGGACTGTTAGTCCTGTCACCTCCTTCCTCTGTCAGCCCGGAAAATAAAAACTCAAACATGCATCCCGAGTGCAAATGTAATCTTTGCGGATGTCTTCTCCTTCAAGATTCTTGGTGTCATCTTCCTTCCCGCATAAGAGAAGTTCTCCTGCTTCACACAGACACCGTGGAAGGGAGGCTCAGGATGGAGGCCATGGGGCACATGTTAGTGATGGGAAAAAGGAGGCCCGGGGCAGAGGCCGTAGAGTACATGTCAGTGATGGGGTGTGGGGCGCAAGAGAGGAGGAGACCGTCCTGGGGTGGCCCATGGCTACTGCTCAGATTGGCACGAGGTCCGCAGTTCCTGACTGTCCAAGGCTTCAAAATACCCATCCTTGCCTTTTCCACATCATCCCATGCTTTAAAAGACCATGCTTATTAATAACTTTTGTCCAGTGGGAATCGGGCTCGCTACTTCACAGCCATCAGACCAGCTGCATCATTCCATCGCCAGCTAAGTACTGATGGCAAATCACCCAGTGAGCCCGCCCAGCAGAGATACCCTCCCTGCTCCCTTGATCTTTCTCCTGAGCGACTCATTGGGTGGACTTCCCTTTGCCTGTTCTCTGAAGGGTCTTGGACATCTTCAGCACAGGAACATTTACACGACTGGAGCCTCATTCAGAATACAGCTTCCAACAAAATAGTCAATTCACAAAACGTATCAGGTCGTTAATGTTGCTGTCAAAGCAAATGGCAGTAATAGAATTCTAGACTTCAGAGAACTTCGACCTTCCACGAACTCTTAATAGGAGACTAAGGCAGGGTGTGGTGTGTCATATGAGCCTGCAATCCCAGCACTTTGGGAGGGCAAGGCGGGAGGATTGCTTGAGCCCAAGAGTTCAAGACCAGCCTGGGCAGCATAGCAAGACTTCACCTGTATAAAAGAAATTTAAAAATTAGCAGCCAGACTCAGTGGCTCAGCCTGTAATCCCGCGCTTTGGGAGGCTGAGGTGAGTGGATTGCCTGAGCCCGCGGGTTCGAGACCAGCCTGGGCAACTTGGCGAGACCTCCTCTCTACAATAAATCAAAAAAATTAGCCGGGCGTGGTAGCGCGCGCCTGTAGCTCCAGCTACTCAGGCTGAGGCGGAAGGCTGAGGCAGAAGGATCGCCGGAGCCCAGCAGGTCGAGGCTGCGGTGGCCGGGAGCGGCCACTGCACTCCAGCCTGGGCGACAGAGTGAGACTCCAACTCAAAAAAAAAAAAATTAACCAGGGTGGTGGCGCACGCCTATAGTCCCAGCTACTCAGGAGACTGAGATGGAAGGATCACTTGAGCCCAGGAGGTCGAGGCTGCGGTGACCCGTGATCGTGCCACTGCACTCCAGCCTGGGCAGCAGAGAGAGAATACTACTCAAAAGAAAAATGAAAAGAAAAAATTGGGAGGCTGCCATCTGTTTCTTTATAGCAAAGGGGATGTAAGCCCGAGAGTGACTGTGTGAATAGCAGCATGAACGCTCTATGTCAAGGGGTGCCAAATAAAAGTCAGGCAACTTTTTCATAAGGTAACTTCGTTAATGCAGCTACTGAGATTCTTGTGAAAATGCTGTATTTGGGAGGGGGATGTGGGGATTGGCCTTGAAATCCTTCCTACTGGTGACAGAAGCCACGGTGTCAGGGAACTTCCTTATTGTGGTGTGGGTAAGATGCTTTCCCAGGTACTTGTATATGAAATGGAATATTTCTCTCCTTCGAGAAAAATATATCCATAAGGTGATATGCCAATCATCACTGAGCATTAAGAATATTTTTCTCTAATTAAAAAAATTTAGGCCAGGCGCTACGGGTCACACCTATAATCACAGCACTTTGGAAGGCCGAAGCAGGAGGATTACTTGAGCCCAGGAAGTCCAGACCAGACTGGGCAACATAGCAAGACCTCGTCTCTGCAAAAAATAAATCAGTCAAGCATGGTGGTGTGCGCCTGTAGTCCCTGCTACTCAGGAAACTGAGGCGGGAGGTTCATCTAAGCCCAGGAGGTCAAGGCTATGGTGAACTGTGATCGTGTCACCGCACTCTGGCTTGGGCGACAGAGTAAGACCCTAACTCAAAAAAAAAAAAAAGATTTGAAGACCCTGGCTAGATTTTTGCTAGGGACCCCCTTTTCATGCGTTCTTCCCAGACTCTGCACCCAGCTAACGTGTCTTTCCAGAGCAACCAAATAGTCATGTCCACTATGGAGCCCAACAAAGCAGAACGCTATTCCTTATTGCCCGGTCTCTTCTGACTGGTAGGAGTAACCGGAGGGGGCCACAGAGTGGCCATCCACGAGTTAGCCTTTTGTCTCACTGCCTCCTGGGCCCCTCTCTGCTGGGTGTACAGATTCCACCCCAGGCCATCGTCACCTAGAGAGCTGACTTCCCACTATAATGGATGTCAGTTTTTATGGATTTTCTGCATTAAGCTTAGAACTAAGTGGCTTTTACTCTAAAAGTGGTCATTGCAGCTATTAAGATTCTTGTGAAAATGCCTGCTGGATGCCACCCTGAGGTCACAGAGTTACCTATGGCTGGAGAGGACACTTGAGGAGTCTCTTGGCTCTCCAAAGCTTTGGTCATTGGGAACCACCACGGGGCCAGAGTCGTCTAAAGAGAGCCAGGTGTGCGGTGGTTCGTTTACAGGCAGCCCCTCCCAGGCCTTCTTGGAATCCTCTTGGAGGTAAACTGCTGTAAGAAAGACATCATTTTTAGAAAAAGAGAAGGTAACTGAATTAAAGGAGAAAGAGATATGACTATGGGATTGCCAGGAATCCGTGTCATGGAGCCCATGAAGAAGATTTGAATCCCGTGGCTGAATAAATCAAATCCCTTGCAGAAAAAAAAAAATGTTAATTAACAGGAAGAAAAAAAATGGAAACAAAGAAAATCCAAGAACCTAAGAAGACAAAGTGACAAGTGAGAAGTTTCTTAAAAGCCATCGCGAGCTTTAATGGAAAGGCTAGGATTACAGATAATGTAATAAACCCTCCATGAGTTATGGCTTCCTGAAAGTCTAAATGAAGCCTTACCTGAAGAAAGAAAATTAAGTGTATTGATTGCGTTTTGCCCGTAGGTTTTCGAGACTGGGTTCCCAAGGAACTTCAAAGAGTGGGCTGTGTCGAGCTGTTGAACACGGTTCAGAGGCGAGTCCGGCCCAAGCTCCACGTGTTTGGTGGGATCCATGAAGGTAAGAACAGAGTGTGGCACGTTGCACCATGATCCGTGACCCCGTCCTGCAAGGGGAGAGACCGTAGCTAACTGTGAGTCGCTGGAGCAGTAGTTTTCAAACTTTCCCACAGTGGAACCCTTCTGCAGGACAAAATCTTAGGCAAAACGTCCGCATAGAGAGCTGATAAATATTTTATCTGGAAAGAATGGAGTGTAGGAACCACATCTGGCCCACCTTGATGCAAACTCAGCATTTCTCCCACTCTAGGACTCAGAAGCTTCTGGAATCCCAGGGCTTTTTTTTTTTTTTTTTTAACTTTTTTGTTATTTTTAATTTAAAACATAAAAATACCTAGTTTACAGTCTAGAGAGAAAGTAACAATTCAAAAGAAACAAACAAAGTTGTAAAATACTGCACATATACTGGTCAAACTGAAAAAGATAATATTTAGATAAGACTATAAATATCATCTTTTTATCTAGAATTTGTAAGTCATAGTCTTGGCTTAAATCAGATGCCAAGTACTGAGACCATGTTAGCCTAGTTTTTTGCTGAATTTTTTTCACTTTATTACAATATTGGCCTTTAATAAAATCTTTGCAAGGAAAAAAACAAGTAAAATTCTTGCGTATTTGTTGTAACCATATTCACCACACTGCTGAATATTTTCTAGTAAATATCCATAAAAGAAAGGTTTTTTTTTTCCTAATTAGGTGGGTTTTTTCTGAATGACTATGCAGCTATATATATATATATATATATATATATGTGTGTATATATATATATATATATATACACGCAGCTATATATATATTTGTATATAGCTGCATAGTCATATATAATTTCACCTTATCTCAAATTACTTTTCAAGAGTCAGGATATAATCACATACATATAAACATGACTATGAATTCATAAATATATCTTATGAGGAATGTTTGATGACCATTGTGCAACCCTGGAGTATATAAGGGCTCATTTTCTCCTTAAGAGATGGCCTGGATGTTAGAAGCTATTTAAGGCTTCTGCAGGACCCTCTCACCTATAAGTATTGTCTTTCCTATGGAATACACACTAAGACCCAGGAAGACGAGGCTTTCTCTGAAAAATAACTTTGGACATGCCATGGAAGATATATAGCAGGTGTGGCGGAAACCTGGCATTTGCAGGTAGACGTTTCCTTCCTGACCTCAGAAAACGATTTCAGACTTCTCAGAAATCACCCGAGCTATTAGCTCAGGCTGAGGTTGACTGGAATAATTAAATCTCCCCTAAATGGGAGCTGGTCCTGGTGCCTGTTTGTTGTGCCTTTCAAGGTAAGCCAAGTAAGGGCCACATACCCTGAAAGACTCACAGCGCTCTGGGTTTTGTACAAACCAAGGGTCCCTGGGTCTTCGGACAGACTCAAAGCCCTCTTTGAGCGGGCCTCAGTGGGGGAGTTTCGGGCCCCACCACGTCCATGTCTACGGGGGCAACGCCAGGTCCTTCCAGGCCCCTGCTCTGGCTGCTCGCTGGAGTTACTGATGTATGTACAGTCAAGTCGGGGAGGGGTTAAGGCTGCATGCCTGACAGGCAAAATAACAAAGTTTGCTTTTCAAAGCCCACACCTCCAGCGGCTTACTGCTTAAGGGGGTAATAAAAAGTATATTGAAAATCCCCCCACTGAGGCCGGAGAAAATTCAGCTTGCTCCAAGTGTGGGTACTGGCTGAGCAGACAGGCGCCTCCTTGACTTTGAGCTGTGCTTCCTGGAAAGGGGGGTGCTTCCCAAAGGGATGATGGGGAGTGATCATCAGGAAGGGGAGACCAGAGCTGCTCCACTCCCACCCCTCCCCCCCAACCCCATCTAAACAGTGTTTCTGGGGTCCCTTGTCTTGCAAACAGATCTGAATTCCAGCAGCACGGCTATGAGCTTGCAATTGAACTTTTTCTAAAAAAAAAATTTTTAATGTAAAAAGAAAAAGAAAGAATTAGCTTTCAACCAGCCAGACAATTGAATTCCACGGAAGCCCCAAAATAATAAACGTGCTTAAAAGGGAGGAGATCATATTCAAATAAACTCATCTCGCTTTTATTCACTTAAGACGGCTGATGAGGGCAGAAAGAGTGCAAATACCAAGCTCTTGATGGAGAGAGATAAGGAGACTTTATGACCCCAGAACTAAACAGGGCAGAGTTTAAACGCAGCTTTTCTTTTCTTAAGAGATTTTTCCATTGACCCTCATTAAGCTCTCCATAGGCTTCCTTGGAGAAATTTTAGCAAATGGGGGGAGGAAAAAAAAAGCCTCATCCATTATTTCTCTAAGTCCTGGTCATTTTATTTATTTATTTTTTTGCGGCCATATTTTTATATGCCGTAAGAGCCCAATACCAACACAGAATTACAAACTTACTCACAGAGACTGCATCGCAAACATAAGGCATCCAGGGAAAGTGCAAACTTGCAAACATGCTGAAAATTTCAACGTATTAAAAATGATCAAAGGAACTTCTGTGCCAAAGACCCAAAGAACCTCTTTTAGCGTTCTTTCCATAAGTCCCAGGAGGTTTCTGTTGCATGTGGGATATGTTTTCTGCTCGTTCTCATGTCCAGGTGAGCTTAGGAGACGGTGTCCTGCGGTGATGTTTCTGCAACTCACTTGAACAGTGAGCACTTTTGAATGAAATGGAACTTAGCATTAAAACCAAGCAAGTCTAGAAAGATAGAATCACTTATGGTTAACTTCTAGGAAGGCAGCTTAGAGAGTATTTTACTCGATACAGAAACTGACCAGCGTCTCAACTCCCAATGTCATGCCCTTGACCCCCTCACCAGCCCATTTGGAATGTGGTTGTGTTTGCTCCTGGGGAGTAATTCTTCCCTGGAACTCAGTAGTCAAGGGAGAGCTTTGATATGAAAACCCTATTTTAAAAAGAGGGGGAAAATAATGTTTTTCTTCCTTCTCATGAGTAAGGAAATCACAGCCTTTTCTTGGCATGTCTAGTATTTAAATAAGGGATGGGGGGGTGGGGAGGGAAGAATTACGCTTTGTTGAGGGAGAGGATACTCCTCTCCAAAGAAAATGCAGTGAAATCGGGCAGCGGCTTCTGAAAGTCGTTGTATCTGGGCAGGTGCCACTGCATTTCATCTCATGGCCCAAGGGACAAAGATGTCTTTGTGTCCCTAGCCTGACGGGCCCAGTATTCCATCACTGTCATTTGTGTATCTCACGGTGAATGTGACTCTCTGTCCCCGCAGGTTACGGCATTATGACCGATGGTTACACGACGTACATCAACGCCTCGACGTGTACAGTCAGCTTTCAGCCCACCAACCCGCCAATTATCTTTGACCTTCCAAACCCACAGGGATCCTGAAGCTCTCCCTGCTGGCATGTGAGGGGAGGTCTACAAACTGCCATTTTTCTAGTTACAAACTTACATTCTCTTACGTGTTTATTTCTAAATCCTGTGAGTTCTCTTTTTTGTAAATTGTTGGGACACAAATGATGCTGGGGTTGTACTGCTTCTTTATTTTTTTTTTCTTTTAAATGGGGTATCCATTGGAAATCAAAAGAGCATTGTGAATTTGTAAAATGATTTATGTTTTCACAAAGGCCATGCCTGCCGTTGTAAATTGTTAGTGTTCGCCAAAGGACAGCCAAGCTTTCTTTTAAAGAAATGATAAGAAGTCTTATTTTAATATGCTTTAAGCTGGAAAAAAAAAGAGAAAGAAACAAGTAGGCAGTGTTTTTTAAACCAACCCAGATTTGCACAACTGTTGAAGAGTATTGTTTGAAGTATTTTAAGTTTTGCTGTTTCGTTGTTGTTATTGTTGTTGTTGTTGTTTTCTTGGTAATGTTTCTTTTCTTGCAGACGTGGCCCCGATTTATAGCAATCGTCCCAACAGAAGCTGGCATGGAAAAGACTTCTCTTCACGCTGTCTCTCTAATGAAACTGTGTCAAGGGAAGGAAACGGCCCTCGTAGAGAGGACGGCTTAGCGAGTGAGAGTCCTATCGTGGTTATATAAGGTCTCCTTGTTTGTTTGTTTCTTTTAAATTATTTTAGCTTTAAAATACAGAAATGGAATCTGTCAAGAGCAGGTGTTTCATACAGTTCAAGAAGAAAAAAAAAACGAGCGTGCAGACTCCTTTTCAATATGGGTTTATATATATGCGTATTTTTTGTGTATTATGACTAAGTTAGGAGTTTAATATTGCCAAGGACAGTCCAACCACACGGGTGGCTGGACAGCAAGGCATTCGAAGCCTGAAGGGAACGGACATGTATTCTCAGAACTCAAGGTCTCAAAGAGCTTGAGTCAAATCTCGGTACAGTGGCAGGCGTGTATAGACTTAAGTGGCTGCAACGGAAGCTTACTAAAATAAGGCTTAGTTGTCCTCTCTATTTAAATGCCCCGAAATGTCTCCTTACTCCCCCCCCTCCCCATTTTGCACTGTGTGTCAATGCAATCCTTTCTAGCACAAAATATTGTCGCTAATAGTCATTTCTGTTTCCCCATTGTAAATGCTGTCAAGCTTTATTCTATTTTATGTTACCTTGTTAATGAAATTTAGGAAAGCAGTTGTTTCTTTAAATTTATTGTGATATTCTATATCTAGCGGCCTTTATATGCAAATAAAATTGCAAGATTTTTCAACCCGTGCTGTTTGGAGGGTTGGCTGGGTGGGAGGATGGTAGTTTCTTCCTGAGGAAGGAGGGATATATTCCCAGGCGACGTCGGCGATCCTTTTCAGAAGAATTAGAATTAGTGATTTTTTTTTTCTTACTTTCAATAAATTTTTATGACCCACCATTCACGGGCTGGCGGGTGGATCAATAAGGCACTCAGGGTACTCCTTCCTTCCATCACGCGGTCATCCATCCTGCCTTGGATTTCGGAGGGTGAAGATTTTCTCTTTGGTCGTTATCATGTCTGCAGGAGCAGAGTGACTGTGCAGCCAAGGCTGTGGGTGCTATTTGGGAGCGTGAGTTGGGGGACACAATAGGTGATAGAGTCACCACTGCACATTTCCATGTGTCCCCAGGAGCATGCACCACCTCCCCATCACTGGTTGTTTAATGACATCCACCCATGAAATGCTATGACAACCAGGAGCAGGTAGGCAGTGGACTGGGAGAAACTGTGTATAAGGGTGGCCCCAAAAAACCCGAAATCGTCTTTTAGAGGATGAGTCCCTTTGTAGTCCAGGCTTCCCCCGCTGAGTCAGCGTTCTAGGAATCCATTGGCATCCGTGTACCAGCTAGCATTGTTGTGAGAGGCTGCGTTCAGCTTCGTGAATTGTTCTTGGAGATTCTTTCGATGCGTTCGCCCATTTCAGGATGGATGATTTAGGAGCGCGCCTGCCCACACCACGTTGAGCGTTCAGCAGTTTTAGACAAAAACAGCATGGCCGCCGTGCCCCACCCTCCTTATTCACCCAATTTCGCTCCAAGCGCCTTTTTTGTCTGTTTGTTTCCCAAATGAAAAAAGTCCTGATGGGAAACTTTTGCCCACGTGGAAGAGGTGAAACAAAAGACGGCAGAAGCACTAAAAGGCCTCAGAATCAATGAGTTCAAAAACTGTTTGGGGCAGTAGAAAAAGCCTCTCGATAGGTGTGTTGCATCACACAGGGCGTACTTAGAAGGTGGTTGAAGTTTAAAAGTGGAAGAATAAACACAGTTTTTTTATAAATAAATTCCGAGATTTTGGGGGTTCCGCTTCGAATGTCTCTTACGTTTTCTCTGGAAGAGGCAGCTTGATCTTGAACTTGCAATGCTGCCCCGAGGCCTGCGTCCCAGGGCCCGTTGGACTGCATTCTGATACATCTTCCTTCCCTCCTGTCCTTTGTGGATGCAACTCTCTGAAAGGAATTTTTGATGTTAGTACCAGCAGTAGAAAGAATGTTCTAGGCCAGAATTCAGTTCAGATTCCCATGCCATCTTCTTGGCCTGCTGTAGTTGTTAATATTTATTAGGCATCTCGGATGCCACACCATGACCTGCAGTGGACGTTTGAGTCCGAGCTCTCGAAGAAGACACTCACACTTCCCGACTAGAGGCAGCCTAGGACCGCGGTAGCTAAGACAGGCCAAGAGAGAGAGGTACCGTGAGTTTCTGGCAACCCTCTCTCCTACTACCTGAGTAGAAAAGGATGTTGACATCAAGGCCCTTCCTAGAGGGCTGCAGTGAGAGGTAGATGACCAGATAGAAATTCCTCCTGTTTATTGCACCAGGAGCTGGGTTCAGGCTTCTGAAAAAGCGAGCCTTCCGAAGGTAGGTGGGTGTTCGTGATGACAAGTTTGTGTGCACAGCCCTCAAGTGCATATGTGGACAGAAACTAATGAAGCCAAGCACTTCCTAAAATTGCTTTTCGTGGTGTGGAGGCAGAAAGCAGCCTCGCATCCTAACTCTGGCAAGTTCAGCCAGTCCGCCATCCTCTATACATGAACGGTTTCCAGGAGACCCACTGACACTGTCCAAAAACCCATAGCTTTCTCCACTGGGTCTTAGAAAGAGGAAACACTCAAAATAGTTCTTGCAGATTGGGCATTTTGTATTCTTTCATCATCGGGTACTCTCTTGAGCAGGTTGTGTATTTTGTTTCTAGTCTTCACAGAATCCTGGGAGAGCTCGCATCAAACCCACTTCACACATAGGAAAGTAAGACCTCTCCCCCCAAATTAAAGGACTTTTCTCTAGGAAGATGGAAGGCTCCAAAGCAAGTCTGCCTGACTCCATGGCCCATGCCCTGTCTGTCACTCTGCCTCTGGACCAGAGATGTTGATGCCGTCCCGAGAGCCCATAGAAGACAGGTGTGGACCTGGGGGTATTCCCTGTCCCTCAGGTCGTAGGCTAGCCGGAGCACCCTGCAGGGTGGCTTTATGGCAGCCTCAACTGGGAGTGCTTCCTGACTGCTGGAACCCGGCACAGCACAGTGACTAAAAGCTAGGTCCGACGTGCTCGCCCACATCCTGACCCCGCTTGGGACAGGGACAGATGCCTTTGCCTGGGTACTTTATAAAATGGCGGTGATGAGGAGGAGGAGGAAGCTGCTGTCCGTGTCACATATCAGTTCAAAGTTGGAGATCCCTGCCTGGCGTCTTGGAAGTGGCGCACATGAGCTGTGTCCGTAGGGTCACCGTGCTTTGTGTTGAGTGTCCCACAAGATTGTGTCTGCTGACTCCCAACCTCCAGAGCACGCGTGGTATCGTTTCTTAGAAAGTGTGTTGGTTTGCATTCCTTGGGGACTGGAACAAATTTCTCTTCCTAAGAGTATGAAAATCCCCAAAGGGCAGGCACGGTGTCTCATGCCTGTCATCACAGCACTCTGAGAGGCCGAGGCAAGAGGATTGCTTGAGCCTGGGACTTGGAGACCAGCCTGGGCAACAGAGTGAGACCTCGTCTTTACAAAAAATAGGAAAATTAGTCAGGTGTGTTGGCACATGCCTGTAATCCCAGCACTTTGGGAGGCTGAGGTGAGAGGATTGCTTGAGTCCAGAACTTAGAGATCAGCCTGGGCAACAGAGTGAGACTTTGTCTCTACAAAAAATAGGAAAATTAGCTGGGTATGGTGGCACACACGCCTGTAATCCCAGCACTTTGGAAGGACGAGATGAGAGGATTGTTTGAGTCCAGGACTTGGAGACCAGCCTGGGCAACAGATCAAGACCTGGTCTTTACAAAAAAAAATAGGAAAATTAGCTGGGTGTGGTGGTGCACGCCTGTAATCCCAGCACTTTCGGAGGCCGAGGTGAAAGGATTGCTTGAGCTTAGGAGTTTGAGACCACCCTGGGCAACAGAATGAGACCTTGTCTCTACAAAAAATAGAAAAATTAGCTGGATGTGGTGGCGCGTGCCTGTAGTCCCAGCTACTCGGGAGACTGAAGCAGAAGGATCGACTGAGCCTTGGAGGCCAAGGCTGCGGTGGCTGTGAGTATGCTGCTGCACTCCAGTCTGGGTGACAGAGTGAGACTCTGACTCAAAAAAATAAATCCTACAAAGAGCCACTGAGTATGTACAAGAGGCAGATCAGGGAGCCTGGCATTGCGGTGTGGATGCCGCACTCTGCCAATCCCTTCTGGTCTCCGAAGAGAAAGGGCGTCCTCTGCTCACCTCCCTTGGTCAGCTCGATTTTCACAGCATGGGATCCCCCTGAGTGTCCCCACTCTGTTGCACCCTCTCCTTCTGGCTCCATTAGTGAAAAGATGTCCCACATATTTTCTCAGGTTCCCCGTGGGTCTTCTAGAGAGGCTGGGAAGGAGATGGCTGAAATCCCCTTAAGAAGCGGGCTGCCTTCAGCCATGAGGGAACCTGATCTCAAACCAGGTGACATGGGAACCAAAGAGAGGCCCAAACTTTGCCAGTACAATTACCATTTGTATACCTAACCCTGAATTGTACCCCACATCTTTAAAATTAAAAAAAAGAAGGGGGTTGCTGTGAATCCGACAGGTGGCTGGCCTGAAGCCTGCCTTCACCTCTCACACTTAAGTAAACAAACAATAAATTAAAATTTAAAAAAAACACAAAAACCAAAAAACGGAATTGTACCCCACATCTTGAAAATTAAAAACAATTTTTTAGAAATTTTTTAAAAAAGTAAACAGCCGGGCTCGGTGGCTCAGCCTGTAATCCCACACCTTGGGAGGCTGAGGTGAGTGGACTGCCTGAGCCCGCGGGTTCGAGACCCGCCTGGGCAACCTGGCGAGACCTCATCTCTACAATAAATAAAAAATTAGCTGGGCGTGGTAGCGCACCTGTAGTTCCAGCTACTTGGAAGGCTGAGGCGGAAAGATCGCCAGAGCCCAGCAGGTCGAGGCTGCGGTGGCTGGGAGCGGCCACTGTATTCCAGTCTGGGCAACCGAGTGAGACTACAACTCAAAAAAAAATTAAAAAATAAAATAAAATAAAAAATAAAAAGTAGCTGGGCTCGGTGGCTCGGCCTATAATCCCGCGCCCTTGGGAGGCTGAGGTGAGTGGATTCCTGAGCCCGCGGGTTCGAGACCCGCCTGGGCAGTGAGACCCCATTTCTACAATAAATCAAAAAATCAGCTGGGCGTGGTAGCGCATGCCTGTATATCCAACTACTCAGAAGGTTGAGGCAGAAGGATCGCCGGAGCCCAGCAGGCCGAGGCTGCGGTGGCCGGGAGAGGCCGCTGCATTCCAGTCTGGGCGACAGAGTGAGACTCCAACTCAAAAAAAAATTTTTAAATAAAATAAAATAAAAATAAAAAGTAAACAAACACCAGGACCCGGGTCTTAGGGGGGAAGAGACAGAGGTCGGGAGGACTTGAGATTTGCCCCTTGCGGGTAAAACACTGGCTGTGACCCTTCCCCACCCTCACCCAGCCGGGACGTGCAGCGTCACGACAGTTAACGTCCGGGCGTTACCTGATTTTCCAGTGATTCCAAAATTGGGGCCCTTTCCAACATACAGCGTCTTTCAGACTTGACACATGCATGTCAAACGCGTGACAAAACCGTCGACGTTCTGAGGTCAACGAAGTGGAAACCATGCACCCATCTCTCTTGTGGAGGGAGGAACTGGGGGCCCATCAGGGGTGTGGCAGACGACAAGTTCAAAGGAAAGCAAGTAAACCCTCGTGGGAACACACAGACATCAGGTCCCGAGGTTTCTTTCAAATAATCTGGTTTTCC